TGTGCGTGCGTGCCCAAGATCCTGAGAGGAGAATGGAGGAGAAGGGATTGTGGCATGACCATCCCCCCTGGGGAGTGATTTCTTGCTTTCTGTCTCTATGTCTCTCTCTGTCTGTCTGGTGAGCGCACGTGCCCTATAGTGAAAAATCTCTCCAAAAAAAAATTTATATAGGAGTGTTTATGATAATATTTACAGAAAAATCAAAGTGTACAATGAGAAAAGTCTGTACACAAAATGACAAGTTATATTCAAGAAAAAAATCAATAGAAATTAGGTTAGAGGAAAAGTTAAGATATTTCAGGAGAACAAATTAAAGTGATTCTTTTCTAAATATAAATAAGAAAACTATCCATTACTGTTGTGATAAACAATTATGATAAGCCATGGAAATAGAAGGTTTATCTCAAGGAAAACTCAGGAAGGAGTAGAAAATAGATCTGGAATAAATTCTCATTCTTGGTAACATCATTGAGAGCCTCAAAATGGGCTAACCAAGATCCGCACACACTGAGACTCAATTTCAAATCACTTTGCTGCTACCTACAGACGAAAAACAAATTTCCCAGTGTCATGAACAGTGTCTTACTTTGGTGTATCGTGGTATTACCTTGGGGATTTATCTGAGAAAATGTACACAAAAGTGACCATTTCCTTCAACATGACAATCAATTTGTGAAATTGAAATGCTGAATCTTTATTTTGTCAACAGATTCAAAGCAGTGTGTCCAGTGCCCAGCTCAAGAGTATCCAAACAGTGAGAAAACTCACTGCCTCCCCAAGCCTGTGACATTCCTGGCTTTTGAGGATTCTTTGGGGACAGCCATGGCCTGCATAGCTCTGTGCTTCCTTGTTCTCACAGCTGTAATTTTGGGGATCTTTATGAAGCACAGAGACACTCCCATCATCAAGGCCAACAACCAGGCTCTTAGCTTTATTCTGCTCATCTCCCTCCTGCTGTGCTTCCTCTGCTCCTTGCTCTTCATTGGCCATCCTAACACAGCCACCTGTGTCCTCCAACAAGTCACATTTGGCCTTGTGTTCACTGTAGCTGTTTCCACTGTTCTGGCCAAAACAATTACTGTGATTCTGGCATTCAGTGCCGTGAAACCTAGAAGAACAATGAAGTGCTTGCTGCTCTCAGGGGCTTCTAATTCCATCATTCCCATTTGCTCCCTGATTCAAATGATTATCTGTGGACTCTGGTTGGGAATCTCTCCCCCTTTCATTGACATAGACTCACACTCTGAGCCCAGAAACCTCATCATTGTGTGCAACAAGGGCTCAGTGACTGCCTTCTACTGCGTCCTGGGCTACCTGGGCTTCTTGGCTATGGGAAGCTTCACTGTGGCTTTCCTGGCCAGAAACCTGCCTGACACATTCAATGAAGCCAAGTTCCTCACATTCAGCATGCTGGTGTTCTGCAGTGTCTGGGTCACATTTGTCCCCGTCTATCAAAGCACCAAGGGGAAGTTCATGGTGGCTGTGGAGGTGTTCTCTATCTTGGCCTCCAGTGCAGGGCTTCTAGGCTGCATCTTTGTGCCCAAGTGTTACATTATTCTGATAAGGCCTGATGAGAACTCCTGGAAAGCTTTAAAAAATAGAAAGAATTCCAAATAAAACAGACATTTATAAGGTTTTATCTCATAAACCTGTATCACAATTTTAGGGTTTTGAATAAAAAATGCACCCCGGTTTTATATCCTCATATGATAAAAGAACTGAAAATGACCGGCTTCTTAAATTCATTCTTTAAAACAGTCACTGTGTATATCAATCTTAATCAGGTATTAAACCTGCAACTATGAATGGTATCTTAGATTAATGGGCATTTTTACATTATGTGTATTGATTATTTATTAAATTTTATTAGCTATTATTCATTGTGTTCTCCTAGAAAGCTTGTTACTTTTGTGTAGTCAGAATTTTATGTTGAGTAAAGTCTTTTTACAAGCAAAATGAGAAATAGTGATTGAATGCTTAAAAATATTATTGGAATAATAATAATAATGATCGGGAAAAACAATAAGATACTGGATGATGTAATGGGGATTGTAATGTCTCTGTATTGACTGATATGCAAGGTATTACTTCTGGAAAAAGAAATGTAATACACTGTAAAGTTAGATGTGATTCAATGTAATATAAACAAGATTATGATGATAATAAATAAATTTTAAAAAGAGTAACACATAATATTAATAAGTAAGACTTAAATATAAAATTATTAGGGGAACCAGCAGTTAGCGTAATGGCTATGTTGCTGGACTCCCATGTAGTTGACCGCAGTTCGCGTCTCGGACCCGGTCGCTTAAAACTCATGCCGGGCGCGTATGCATGCTTGCCCAAGATCCCGAGAGGAGAATGGAGGAGAAGGGATTGCAGCGTGACCATCCCCCCTGGGGGGGGTGATTTCTCGCTTTCTGTCTCTATGTCTCTCTCTGTCTGGCGAGTGCACACACCCTATAGTGAAAATCTCTCCAAAAAAAAGTTATTACAAAAAGTATCCAATAACATAGAAACAATTTTAAATAATATTTATTAAAATTATATGAAAGAATTAAAGCTACTTCAGTAAAAAAATTTTTAAAAAGAAATGTCTTTATTTCCATATCTGATTTATTGACTTGTATCTTTTCTCATTTTTTAATAAAATATATCTAATGTTCAGTCAGTTTCTTGATGTTCTTAAAAAAACTAAGTAGTGCTTACACTGTTTTTCTGCATGGTTTTTAATATCTCATATTTATATTCATTCTAAGCTTTTTTTTAGAAGTTTTTGCTACAGGACCCATGCACTCACCAGAAAAACAGAGAAACAGAAAGCAAGAAATCAACCCCCGGGGGCATGGCCACACTGCAACCCCTTCTCCTCCATTCTCCTCTTGGGATCTTGGGCATGCATGCACACATGCCCAGTGCACTTGAACCATGGTCGGCCATGTGGGAGTCCAGCGCCTTTAACCACCATGCCACTTGCCAGCCCCTATTTTATTTATGTTTTGGATAGGTTTTTGCTATAGGGCATGTGCACTCGCCAGAAAGACAGAGAGAGACAGGGACACAGAAAGTGAGAAATCACCCCCTAGGGGGGATGGTCACGCCACAATCTCTTCTCCATTCTCCTCTATTTTTCTCTAGTGATATTAGGCATGAAAGTACATACATCCAGCTTAAGAAACTGGGTCAGGTGGGAACAGAAGATGGGGTAATGGCTATGTTGCTGGATTCCCATGTAGTTGACTATGGTTTGAGTTCTGGACCTGGTGGCTTAAACTCCTGCCAGGTACATGTGCATGCATGCCTAAGATCCTGAGAGGAGAATGGCGAAGAGATTGTGGTGTGGCCACCCTCCCTGAGTAGTGATTTTTCTCTCTCTGTCTCTGTGTCTCTCTCTCTCTCTTTCCGGTGAGTGCACACACTCGATAGCAAAAACCTCTCAAAAAAAAGAAAAAAAAAAAAAAGACACTGAGTCAGGGACTCGAACTGTGGTTGACTATGTGGAAGTCCAGTGACAAAACCATCATACCATCTGGTTGTTCTTCATTCCAATCTGAATATCTTTGTTCTGCTAGCTGGCGTTTCTGCTTTCTGGAGTGTCTTGTGTTAAATTGTGTTGATGTGATATCTCCCTTCTTTTTAAAATTTTTCCATGACAGAAAATTTTATTATACCCTTTTTATAATGTAAATTTACAAACTTGCTAAACATTTGACCTAAATGTGAAGAAACTGCGTAGAGATACAAACCAGAATACAATTACATGAAGAGAACAAACTAAAGATACTCATTAAAAGAAAGTTATTGTTACTTGCAGCACTTTAAGTTGGTAATCTACACTCTTAAAAAGTTGTGGAGTCAAGAAGTGGCATAGTAGCTAGGCACTAGATTTTCACATGGTCAACCATGGTTTGAGTACTGAACACAGCATCTTGAAACTCATGCTGGTTGTGTGTGCATGTGTGCCCATAGTCTTTAGAAGAGAATGAAGGAGCAGGGATAGCAGTGTGGTCCCCCCCAAAGGATGATCTCTCTATCTATTTATTTATCTCTCTTTGTTGCTCTGGTGATTGCATGTACCCTATAGAAAAGATGTCTCTCAATTTTTTTGCTATGTAAAGTAAATGTTTGTGGAAAAATGTAAAAATAAATAAATGAAAGAGGAAAAAAAAAGAAAGAAAGAAAAGATGTCTCTCACCTTCATGGCTCCTGAAAACTAGTGACTTCAGGGGAATCAGAGAAATAAAGATTTTCCACTGATAATTCAGCCTCCAGCCCACAAACTCGCATGTTAGGAAGACTTTCAAGCCTCCTGTCTCTGTCTCTGTCTCTGTCTAGCTTTATCTCTTTCTAATTTTCTTGCAGTTTTTTCTTTTTAAGTTTTCTAATTTTTGCTTTTTTTAAAAAAATTAATTTCTTTGGTTTTTAAATTTTTTTCTTAGTTTTTTCTTCTCTTTTTCTTGGTTTCTTGGTTGTTTCTGTTCCTGTTGTTTCTCGCTCTGTTTCCTTTTCTGCATGCTCCTCAACACTCAGATTGAACTTCAACTTTGGGAAGAAACACACTATCCATCAGATGACTAGAAATCATCGCAGGGCCACAAGAAATATGGGAAAGCAGGAAATTTCTCTCCTCCACTGGAAAAGAATAACTCCTCTTCATCCACAGACAGGTCAATGGAAATCATGGAAATGTCTGATAAAGAATTTAGAATATTCACAATATTCTAAATAGAGATGGAAGAGAAGAGAGACACGAAACTACAGAAGAGAGAGAAGAAAGGAACTGACAAGTTCCAGGAGGAGAGAAAATTCTTGCAATATCTAAAAGAGGAATTACACACTTCACAAAAGAATCAAATGGAATTGTTAGAGATGAAGACTATAATATAGGAAGTCAAAATCTTCCTTGAAAGTATTAAAAGCAGACTAGATCATATAGAAAATAGAATCTCAGATGTAAAAGAGAAAATTGCTGGCCTAGAAAAATCCGCCATGAAGACTGAGAAAATTGCCCCAAAATTTGAGAATAATATACGAGAAGTACTAGATACCATCAAACGTCCAAACATTTGGATAATAGGGATCCCAGAAGGTGAAGAGACTCATAAGGGCATTGATAATCTACTCCATGAAATCCTGCAAGTAAACTTTCCAAACCTAGAGAGGCACACAAAGATCCAGTCCCAAGAAATACAAAGGACCCCAAATAGAATCAACCCATGAAGATCTTCTCAAAGACACATTATAGCCAGACTGACCAAAACCACAGACAAAGACAAGATACTAAGACTGGCAAGAGAAAAACAGCAAGTTACCTACAAAGCCTATCCCATCAGACTAATGGCAGATCTCTCATTGGAAACGATGCGAGCAAGGAAAGAATGGGAAAATATATTCAAAGTATTAAGGGAAAAGCAATTCCAACCAAGAATACTGTACCCAGCAAGATTATCCATCATATGGAAAGAAAACACAACCCCTCTAAAAAAAAAAAAAAAAAAACAAGAGTCTGTTGTTCGGTTTTAAGAGTTTTTGTCATGTCTTGAGCTGTCAATGGGTTCATGTATCTACTATTTGAACAGAATAATAACCTGTTTCCAGGCTTTAAGTTTCAAGAAAATTTCCTTACCAGTTCAAAACTGCTTTTCTTGAAATTACCAGCTGAACTTGCTATTGAATGTAGTTAGATTATTTATGAATTTCTGTGATTAATAAAATGTTGGGGGAAAAGGCATGGAAGACAACTGTAGACACCAGAGATAGTGTGAGAAGAGGGTGAAAAAGGGCAGAGGGTCAGACATAGGTGTAAATATATATAAACAAAAAAATATATATATATGAAACTTGAAATGGAAAATTATTGATGAAAACATGCATGATTAAGCTACTATGCAGTATATTCTAGATGGGAAACCATATTTTATATGTTGTGACAATGTTTAGGGGATGTATGTAAATTAATTAATTAAAAAAAAGTTTCAGGAGAAAAAAAAACATGAAAACTGTTTTTCTTGAAATTAAAAAAAAGTATGTGCATTTGATGACTGCAGTAAGCTATATAGCCCCAGCTAAGTGGTACTTTATAGTATGTTCATTCTACTCACTGAGGTTTATGCCTAAAGTCAGACTTGTGTTTATGGATAGGTATATATCAGCTGTGCTTGCTATTGGAAATATTTAGATTAATTAAGTTCATTAGCTAATCAATAAGATGGAGGAAAATGCATAGAAAGCAACCATGGATACCAGAGACAATGTGGGAGGAGGGTGGGACACGGCAGAGGGTGAGAGATAGGGAATCACAGATGGCAAACAAAAAAGCAAAATATACAGAAAACAAGAAATGGAAAATTTTTTTTTTATGATAACACGTACATTGATGTGCTTGATTGAGCCAATATACAGTGTATTTTGGATGAGAAATCTCATTTTGTATGCTGTAATGATGTACAGTGAATGAATGTAAATAAATACATTTAAATTAAAAAAAAAGAAAGAATGAAAGAGAGAAAAAGAAAAGAAAAGGTGTCTCTCAAAAAAAAAGTTTTATAGGGGGGCAAGCATGCAGTGAAGTGGTTAATGTGCTGAACTCCCACATGTCAAGCCATGGTTCAAGTCCAGGACATGGCTGCTTG